TCTCACTGAGGAGGCTGTGGCATCATTGCATATCTGTCTGCAATCTATATAAGAATGAACTAACGAAAGATAAACATTCCGAGCAATCATTACACATTGTTTTATATCTTTCTTTTTGGGTGTTTTGCCTTAAAACATACACGATATTGCATATATGTAAATATATAGGTGACAAATTACTGAATAATTAAAATTTAAGATAAAATTATAGAAATGATTGAAAGAATATAGCTACATACTGAAGCTATAGATGGATGCACAGATGGATGAGTGGGTAGATGGGTGGATGGACAGGCTGATGGGAGAGAGGATGGATAAACAGATGGTTGGATAGATAAATGGATGGATAGGCTAGGTGAGTGGGTGGACAGACATATGTGTGGGTGGATGGATGGAAGGGTGAATGGGTGGATGGGTAGGTGGATGGATGGATGGATGGATGAACAAACAGAGAGATTAATAGAAATAATAGAGTAATAGAAACAGTTATATTTGAAATATAGCAGTTTAGCATTCACTCCAGAAAGATATTATCATTAGAACCTAATATGTTATAAAATGTACCACAAAGGGAAACTGATTTTTCTTCTGTCTTCTGATAGAGAAATATTTAGTTAAAATATGTTTTTCATTCATGAGTCTTGAGTTGGGAAGGACCTAGGCATGTGATAGGCCAGAAAAACAACCTTCACCTCTGTTAACTGTCTCTCAAGGTTCAAGACATATAATCAACTAGTAACCAAAATACTTAATTCCCAAATGAATAAGCATTGCATTTTTAAGGATGAGGGAATCCCATATGAACCAGTCCACCATCTCCAGAGACCAAGACTCAGTTGAGCATATTAGAAGATGTTGGTTAGGACAGGCTCACTTGGAAGGGAACTTGTCCACAATGGGTAATTCACAAGCAATACACTTTCTATACCTCCTTTAATCAATGCCATAAACAACCCCACCACAAAGCTCTCTAAGGAAAAAATGTTTAAATATGAAGACACAGTTAGGAAAAGATTATAAAGACTTCCCCAAAAGGCATGGGCACTGCCCACATTTTAGTGGACATTCTCAGCTCATTAAAGACTGCCAAGAAGCAGAACCCAGCTCTTTCAAGGCCAGCAAATCCAGCATGAAGTTTCACTCCTGAAAGCTTGACCCTCCTCCTTGGGCCTTCTTCCCCCACCCTTCAATCTGATCTGAAGTAAGAAAAATTCTTCCTCAGGTGTCTGCTGGGCCTGGGATCCACAGCCTAGCCAACTTTGCAGAAAAGCACGGTTGGATGGAAAATTCACTTTAGGTTTCTGGCTTCTCAGCACTCCCGCACATCTAATTAGCTCAACAATTGGTCCCTGTGATAAAATCAGCTAATTTTACGTTCAAATAGCTGCTCTGTGGTAAGCAATACTGTCATTCTAACGTCACATATAAAGAAGTTGCTGAGGAAGTGGGTTCCTGGGAGGTCACTGGGGGCAAACTAGTGGAGACTATCAAATTAGTAGCCTAAGTCAACATTACAGTTAGTACACAAGGGTCCCAGCAGACTTGGAAATAATGCCCAGAATGGAGGGTCAGAAATGGCAACCTTTGAAGGGGAAAAAGGGACATTTAAAATGAATGGAGCAAGTCTCTGCTCTCAGAAATAAATCTGAATATTTCTGACACAATTACAGAAGATAGAGCCTAATCTGGTATTGTGAAGAAATGACTCCCCCAAGATTAAATGCCTTTGTTGTTCCAGCCCTTTCTTCAAGGTCACCTTTAACATAAAGTATCACAAAGGCAATCCAGAGGCTGCCCTCCTCCAGCCAGCTGGGAAGGCAAAAGACAGGATCTGAGACTCAGTCTCTATGGCGTGGAGCCCGTTCAGAAACCACAGCACTTTTAAGGTAAAAAGCAAAGAAAACCTCAATTTCTTTATGAAGCAAAAGCTAACAGTGTCACCTTTCAGAGGCAAATTATTGACTTCTTTGGGGGGCAGTTATAGATATTACAATTACACCAATGTAATGAACAGAAATTCATACAAGTTTCAAAAGCAGAAACAAGGTCTCAGAAATACATGAATGCATGCAATTTTAAACAAAGACACAGAGAGGCATATACCTACATCTATGCATATCTATTGTATCTACATGTGGATGGATGGATGAATAGATGGGTGAATTAATGGATAGACAGAAGTCAAAGATTTGTAGTGAACTTCATGCTTAGAACAGTAATTAGCATTCACTATTCTATTCTGGTTATCTCCACCGTTAAAGGCTATGTGTGTGCTGTACATCACTGCTACGTTACCTCTGTATCTGAAGCTGGCTACTGTGTGATTACATGATCAGGCGAAGGCCCCGCTGGGAAGTTGCCTTCCAATTTTCTTCCTCGGTTTCATCACTACACCGGAGAACCACTTGGTGGGATCAGCCTTGAGTCTTTGGCATTAGCAGCCTTTCCTAGCTCGAAGACAGAGCTGGTGGGGGAAGGGCCCTTTGTGGATGATGGCGCCGGATGCAGCTTGCACCCAGTGATGGTTAGTTTTAATTGCCAACTTGACAGAGCCTAGAACCACCTGGGAGGAGAGTCTCAATGAAGGATTTTTCACATTGGTTGGTCTGTGGCATGTCTGTGGGGGACTGTCTTAATTAAGCTAATTGATGTGAGAAGGCACAGCTCACTGTGGACAGCATCACTCCCTGGTCTGGGGTCCTAAACTGTGTGGGAGGAGAAATCTAGCTGAGCATCAGCAATGAATGTGTTTTCTCTCTCTGCACCTGCATATGACTATGTGTGGAATCATTTCAGTTGTTGACACACCTGGGAAGAGGCAGCCTCAACTGGGGAATTGCTGCTATTAGACTGGCCTTGTGGGCATGTCTGTGAGGCATTCTCTTGATTGTTGAGTGATGTGGGGGGGCCCAGCCCCATTGTGGTAATGCCACCCCTGTGCTGGTGGTGCTGGGTTGTATAAGAAAGCAGGCTGAGCACAGACCAGAGGAGCAAGCCAGTAAGCAGCACTCCTCCATGGTCTGTGCTTAAGTTCCTGCCTCCAGCTTTCGGCCCTAAGTTTCTGCCCTGGCTTCCCTCCATGTTGGATTATGACCTGGGAGTGGCTGAAATAAAGCCTTCCTTGCCCAGTTGGTTTTGGTCAGTGTTTATCACAGCAATAGAAAGTAACTAGAACAGACTAGCTGCCTCCGGTTCCTGCCTTGATTTCCCTGTGAGGATAGGTGGTAACCTGGAATTGTAAGCCAAATAAACCTGTTTCTCCCCTACGTTGCTTTCGGTCAGGACGTCTGCTCACAGGAACGAGCGAGGGCACATTTCATTGTTGGCACTTTTCCTGCTTCACGCTGGGCCCTGTGGCTCACTTGCTTCTCCTTTGGCCTCTGCTCTTGTGCCCTGGTCTGCAGGGACTCAAAGTTCCGTGCACCAGTAATGCTCCCCTCATCCTCCTGACAAATGCCTCTTGCCTCCTGCCCTGGGATGAAGTTTCCACAGAAGTGCAAGGTGACTCTACACATGATGGCTTCCATGACAATGCACTTCTTTTCCCCAGGAATGACAGGTGATTCCAAGAGGCTCGAGCAGCCTGTTACTGGCAGGAGGGGCCTGCATGCCCTGGATGTTATACATTCCTCCCCGACTCCTCCTTGTCCTTTGTTCCTACTTCCTGGTACCACACACCCAGGACATCTTTACACACACCAGCCCCTTGTTTTGCACTCTGCCTTCCACGGGACTCAGGCTAAGACAAATATTGCAGTGGCCACTGAGGTGCAGATGCACCGTGTGCCTCACTGTCCCCCTCCCAAGAGAGGAACGTACTGAGACATTTTGTTCCTGAAAATGGAGATGTCTGTACTCTCTTACTGTAGTCCCCAGAAAGGAACAGAAAAGAAGTTAGTCACTAAATCTGGCCCTGACTCACACAGAGAAAATTCTACATGGGGCACAGGGCTGTGCCCCAGGCTGCACACCATATCAGCCAAGAAGATATCATAGCCTTGGATATTTGATGGGATGAGGGACTCTCTTAACATCTCCCTCAGACCTGTCTCCTATCAGAGTGGAACTGACCAGTCCATAAACCTCATCAGCAGACACACCTCATCCCAGCCTCACTACCTCCTTGGCACCGTGGTAGTTCCTCTACACTATTTACTAATTATACAATAGATCAGCACGATAGCCATGCCTAGCTCTATTGTTAAGTGTGAGTTCACATAAGAAAATATCATAATTAAAATTTGAGCATTATCACAAAACTCTAGAAATTAAAGCAATTCAAGATGTTTTTAAAAGAGCCAAATCTATTGGAGATTATTTTTTATTGCAGAAGTTAATAGTGAAAATAATTATTTCATGATGTAATGCATCTATTTCCGGTAAGTAGTTTTATTATAATTAAGTTTACTGGAAGAGAAAGAGTGTATCACATGTTAAACTGTGTCCTCAGAGAAGACCTGCTGAAGCCTTAATCTCCTAGCACAGAGCCTTATATGCAGTTTGGGGTTTTACAGAAGTAATCGAATTAAGTGAGATTATTAGGGTTAGGCTGAGTCCAACAGGACTGCAGTCCTTATAAATGTAAGATTTGAACACAGAAGAAAACACACATAGAAGAAAGACTGTGCAACTATTCACAGGATTTACACCTGGGAGCCAGGAGAGAGCCTGGACAGGACACTCCCTCAACCCCAGAAGAGGCCCATCCTATCACAAGACTGAAAGAAGCAATGTCTGTTACTTAAACAGATTCTGACAGAGAGACATACTCCTCTTGGGGGGAAGTACGTTGATTTTAAAGAGAATACACAAGGACCCACTCTTAAAATCTTAGCACATATTTCTTTGGCACAAGGGCTCTGCTCCAAGCCTTGTAGAAATATCTACATCTAAAACACAAGCCATGGAATATGGTTGCAGGTGAAAAGAACCAAACTTCCCTGTAATGTTGAGCTGGCCAAGTCACACTGGCCGAGCAGGTGTGCACTGGAGATCCCTACCTTCTGGTAGTCCTCCTTGGACCTCAGGGCTGCCTCCATCTGTGCAACGGAGGTGGGATAGATAGTCGAGCGGTACTGGGTGCCGTAGTCATTGCCCTGGCGCATACCTGGGGGTGAAGACAGAGAAGATTAGGGCACTGCTGGGTGACAGTGCTGGTGCCACCAGACAAAGATTCCTTCATGTGGCTGCTATGGTGGGTTTGGCCAAGTGCTTCCTTTTTATCTTGACGTCATTTTTTTTAAAAATATTTTATTTATTATTTTTATTTTATGTTTATGAGTGTATTGCCTGCATGTGTATGTGTGCCTGTGCTATGCAATGCCTGTGGAGGCCAGAAGAGGGCGTTGGATCCCCTGAAACTGGAGTTACAGGAGTTAAGGATGGTTTGTAGCTGCCATGTGAGTGCTGGGAATCGAACCCGGGTCCTCTGCAAGAGCAGTCAGTGCTCTTAACTGCTGAGCCATCTCTCCAGCACCAATGTCACTTTCTTAAAACAAGCAGGAAATACATGTGTTTTAATTATAACAAGTGGAGGCACGGCTCAGTGGTTAAGAGTACACACTGCTCTTTGAGAGGACCTGAGCTCAAGTCCCAGCACCCACCTGGGACAGCTCACGACTACCTGTAACTCCAGCTCCAGGTGATTTTGACCCCTCTGGCTTCCAAGAGCACTGCACTCTAATGCACTCACCCCCACACAGACACATACACACACACAATTTTAATATTTAAAAAAAAAAATTTAGAAGAAGCAGTTCATTACAGCGTTAACATACTCAATAACAGTTTACAGAGCAAAGATACATCTCTTTCAAAAGTGGCTATAAAATTTTCAGGTTCACTGTTGAATTAATACAGTTATACAGTATTGAACTCAGTATAAGCCCTGAGTTTTTAACCTTTAAAAAAGATAAATATTACCATTGAAATCTACCTGATGACTTTATAGACATACACAGGTGCCAAGGATCCGAGTGCAACTGATTATGACTAGTAACAATCAGATACATACAGATTAGAGACGCATGCGCCAACATCTCAGTGTTATTAGCAAAAACAATGAGTCTTTCTGTAAGAAACAGTATACTTTAAAATAAAATGGAGATCTTTTTTAAATGTTAAATACTCATTCAGTTTTGTGTCTTACAAGATTTATACTGAGTTCAATATTGTATAACTCTATTAATTCAACTGTGAACCTAATAATTTTATAGCCACTTTTGGAAATGATGCATCTTAGCTCAGGAAATTATTGAACATGTTAATGCTGTTTAATGAAATGCTTCTTCTAATCATGTAGTTATTAAAAATTCAAAAAAAATTTACTTCATGATAAATAATAAGAGGTGATTTAAAATAATTTTTAAATTAAAATATTTAATTATAACAAATATCCTTGAACTTAGGAAAACTGAACAGTCTTGGATCATGCTAGATAGTCCACAAATAATTATTTTATACGCAAATATTTAAAGGGTAATCTATTCATTTGTCACCATGACATGTGTATTGCTTTGGCTGGGAGAGTGTTTTGGGAAAGCGAGCTCTCCGTTGCCATAGCAAATACCTGAGAGAAATCAAGTTACAAGGGGGAGTTGGTGATTTTCATTCCCAGTTTCAGTCCATGAAACTTTGCCGGGTGCCATGGCCTGTGGGGAAGCAGCACATCTTGGTGGGAACACCTAGCACAGCAAGATGCTAACCTCTTGGCTGGCTGCCAGGAAGCAAAGCCAGAGGAAGAGAAGGGGCTCAGGTCCCAGTATCCCCTCTAAGAGTGCATCCCCAATGACCTAACTTCCTTCCACCCAGCCCCACCCCCTAAAAGTCTCACCACTGCACCATAGTGCCATGAACTGGGGAGTGAACCTTCAACACATGGATATCTGGAGGATTCAATCTGTAGAGAGCAGGGCACCCAGACCCTCCGGTTCTTTCTAGAGGGCAGGTAGGAGTCTTTGGTATAAGTAGTACTTAAATGTCTTCTAGGGATAATGCTTTACAAGCATTTACGGTTAAGACCATGGACACTGGAATACAGACAAACTGAAGATTTATTATTTATTTATTTAGGCAGGGGAGACAGGGGTCTCTAATACATTATTTTGGTTTTCCTAATGTTCTACTAAAAACGGACTACGGGACTAGAGAGATGGGTAAGAACACCTTCCAGGCGAGCATGATGACCGAGTTTGAATCCCCAGCACTCACACAGGAAAAGCTGTGTGTAGCTATGCACCCAATGTCCTCCTCTGGCCTCCAAACAGATGTGTGCACCCATGTGTGCTCGGGTGTTTACATACACTACACACACACGTCAACATGCGTACCCATTGTGATGGCTAGTTTTTGCTGTTAATTTGACACAATTAGGATCACCTGGAAAAAAGAGTCCAAATGAGGAATTTTCATAATTTTTATGCTAGATTTCAAGTTTTAACTTGTTGAGTATATGTTTCAATGTTGAGAGTCAACAGGCTAACCAGCGGCCAGTCCTTAAAGACGCCTTCAAAACATAAAACGAAGGCAGGAGAAACTGTCTTCAAACATCCCACTGGGTTTAGAATATAAATGTGTTCAGTTCCCAAGTTTCAAATCACAGCACCCCAGGAAATAGTACTGAAACCTGGATCTCCACTTGGGATTGGTGAAGCACCAACCTTCAGTCAGCTTTACCTACCAGAAGCGGATAAGCTGCCAACTAGGGAGAATGCTAACTAGCTCATTTGGGGGAACAAGCCTCACTTGGGCTACTTTCAAGATGGCGGGATGGTGAATAAATCGATTTACGTAAACCCTTAGAGTAAAATCTCAGTGTTTTTAATGACGCTGTTGGACAACTAAACTCTTAAAATCCAAGCATGACCACCAGGGCTGCTCTCTGTACCATGGACCTCAATCCCACACTGCTCACATCTTGACCTGGGTGAGTCGTCATCCTGGGGCTGCCCTATGCATTCTAGGATGTGTGTAGGAGCATCCTCCGATTCCACCCAATGCTGCCCATCCAGTTGTGACAAGCAAAACTACGGCTATACACTGCTACATGTCCCTTGGGTAGCAAAATTGCCTCCGGGTGAGACCCATTCCTCTATTAATGGACCATGGCTTCTGACATCACTGTGGGCACGGTCTACATTTTCAAAGCAGCTCAGTGAGACAACGGCAAGGGGACAGAGACCGACAGCTCCAGAGGAACCACAGATGTCTTCTGAGAACATATTTTTGCTTGTATCCACTAACTTCCATGGTCACTAGTCGGTTTCATTTTATTTTATACCCGAATTTAAGAGAATGGAGAGTTGCATCAGGGAATACAAGATTTTTCAAAATCCATTTTTTGGGGGAAATAGCATTTTAAATGACATACTGAAAGTCTAAAAAACAATAAGACTTGAGGGGCAGGAGAGATGGCACACTGGTTAAGAGCATGTACTGTTCTTGCAGAGGATCTGAGTTTCGCTCCAAGCACCCACATCTGGTGGCTTACAGCTGCCTGTAACACTCCACCTCTAGGGGATCTGATACCCTCTTTTGGCTTCTGTGGAGTACCTGAACTCATGTGTAACACACAGACACACAGACACACACACACACACAATATTAAAAATAAAATCTAAAAGATAAACAGACTTTTGGAGGACAAATTAAAATTAGTATGTATACAGTTTAAATACAAGGCTCTCCGCTGCACAAGAAAAGCACAAAAAGTCTTTTTTCTTCTTTTTTAATAGTCAGTACAAGAAAAAAATAGAAGTATTAAAATATCACACTGTCCCTCTGTGACTAAAGCATCAAGCCACAGTGACTAGAGCATCAAGCCACTAGAGCATCAAGCCACAGAGAACCTCCGAGCCCCGCCATCCGGCCTCACTGTGCCAGTCAGTTACAGCATGAAGGTGATTTAACGTACAACTGCAGTTCTTCTTCAGTTAAAATAAGTGAAGCTCTACTGATATCTGTCAACTAGGGGTGGCAGGTGGCTCCACGATCAGGGGTCTCACTCCTGGGGTCACGCAGCATCTTCCAGTGCTATATACCTCACTGTCAAAGTGCAGAAGGAGAAGGAAGGAGAAAAAAGAAAGAAAACCTCCCACTTCATCCATCATTATTTTTATTTCTGAAATTATTTATTATTATTGTTGTGCACATATGATGTGTGTGTGGGGGTTAGGGGATGATGCATATGCCATGGTGCATGTGTGGGCCAAAGGACAACTTTGTGGAACCAGAAGTCTCCTTCTAACTTTCATTCTAGGGATCAAACTCAAGGCGCCAAGGCTTTTGGGGCAAGCCCTTTTTCCCGGCGCACCATCTTGTCAACCCTGACTTCCTTCATCTTTAAACATCCTTCCTAGAAGTTCCACCCCACACTCTTACTTCCCTCTCATTGGTCAGAACCTGGTTACATGGCCAACACTTCCATACCTCACTATGCGTGGGGCCGAGACCTGGCCTGACGGAGGCCACGTCCCTGCTCAACCTCTCCTTCCCTCTTGTGCCTCCAATTCCCTCACAGGTTCTTTTATGTTTTTCAGGAGGGCACTTTCTCCCCTAGTCACACGTGCCAAAAACCCCGCCTCGAGTTCTGCTTAGGGAAGCAAACCTGCCTCCATGGTATCCAGTTAGTTTTGTTTCCCTTCGATCTGCCTGGCTGCCCACCTTTAGTACATTGTTTCTTGCACTGTCATCCTCAAAGAAATCCCACAGCCCTATCTAGCACCGTGGTCCCACTTAGCACTGCGGTCCCACTTCAGAGGCGCATCTTACGTTTTGCAGTTGACATTCGGCAGGTGCTATGGCTCTGTCTACTAAATTCTGAACATCTCCAGTGGCTTCTTCAAAATGTATCTCAATGAAAAGTAAAACCAACACGTGGCTGAGAACGTCAGTCATCCCAAGCACTGCAGAAGCTGGTTTTTATGAACTAACCCTCTAGTTTGTCTCCACAGACATGACAACGAAAAGTCACCTGAATGTCTCAATGGCTCATGGAGACCACAGCTCACACAGCCTGCTCCAGCACTGTCTCCTCCCTGATGCTGGAAAACAGGGTCTCCCTGGGTGAGGATAGCACAGAGCACCCCCTCTCCACCAGGTCTCTCCCTC